TCAGCCCAACTTGCATCCTTCAACAAAGAAAGTACAAAAGAATGTTAGAGACTTGATGAAACTACAAACTAGCAGACATGTTGATAGTGATCATTTCATGCTCAAACCTCTTTTGCATATTGTTGCTTTGTGAGGGTAAAATCTCTTCTTGCTTCCTCACCAGACTACAAGATATATAGCTTTTGAAGGGGCAGGTCAGAAACATTCAATTTTTGTCAGAGGGAAATGCCCAAATAACTTCAAGGGTCATTCATCTTATTTTATTGTTTTGATCAGTATATGTACCCTTTAAATAGTTAGGTTGCAAAATAGAGGCAAATCTCCGGCAATGACAAAGTAATCTGAGAGACCCAAAAAACAAAGACAAAATCCGACAAAAAAGTAACTTGGTAATCACAGTATAGGATCTTGTTGATATCACCTTTCAATACTCAAAGGCAAAGGGAAGGACCTTGTTCTCTCATTTCAAACAGAAAGATGAATGTTTCATGAGTTTTCTTATCTCCTTCATTTTCAATATTCCGAACTGAACCCATGCTTTGCTTTTCTGTGTGTGTGTCTGTGAGAGAGAGAGAGACTTTGGATTTTATCAACCTCTTGCATCTTCTTAACAGACCTCTAATTATTTTCTTGGGTTAACAGTCACCAGTCCAAGTTTATCAATTTCTTGACCATGGTAGAGCCTATATAGTAGCCCAAGATAGGGTTTCTGGCTCGTTAGGCAGAGAGCCTCTAGAAAAACCCAACACCCCACCAAGATATATTGAAGGAGAATATCTCTCCCCCTCTCTCTTTTTCTTTTTTCAAACTTAGCAACCGTTATGGTGAATCTTCACTAAAGGTCGGTTGCAGGGTGTCACAAGCTTTTTGATATATAGATGGGATCGTGTCTGTCTGCAGAACAAGTGTTTGAGACCAGAACCAAGCCATCACCACTACTGCACGCACGGCCCTCGTATGAGGTGGTTGAGTGATCGATCGAGAGTGATTTATACATGGAATACCTACATATGGTCCTGTTACGTACGATCTGTCTCGGTTTCGGTTTCCAATCCATACATGCACCAACTTTCGTCGAGACTATCAGGATCCTTATCGTCACACCACGCATAATTACTTCGATCGCTGGTCTCACTCGCTCCATGCCTCCATCCATTTCTCTCTCTCTTTGGGCACTGTGGGCAAGGGCATCTATGATCTATCCATAGGGCGTAAGATGGCGGTTCAAACCCAGAAAGATGCGTTTCCTTGTAAACAGTTACAGACAATGGAAGAAAAATCATCAAAAGTAGAATATGAGAAAGAGAAGATACTGTAACTGTATGCGCAGTTATTGGGAGGGAGAAAAGTGAGAGAAACTACACAAGAAACAAAGCAGGAAATTTCAGAAAATGCCGCAGAAGCAGTGGGTAACCAAAAAAAGAAACAAAAAAAGGAAAAGTGTGGATCCAAGAGAGAATATGAATTCCACTGGAAGACGCATGTCTCAGAATCTCTGTAGTCCTTACCTGCATTTCCTTTGTACGTTGGGGGAGCTTTGGATTGGTCCGTATGGGTACTATCTTTGTGGGTTCAGTTGGGTCGGGACTCATCAGGACCAACTCGAACCCATCCCTAGAATCTCAACAATGAATCCTATAGGCTGCAGCCCAACCCTAACCCAGACCATCTAATTGAAGATCTGGGCAATCTCAGTTCTTGGGTCCTTCAGGTGACCCCAGCCCAACTTCAGCTTGCTCACTGCTCGATTCTCTTTTCCTGACATGTCCAATCCATGTTTCCAGCTTCCACTTCATGGGAAACCCACATTACAACTGCATTTATGTTTTCCTGATAAAAACCCAAAAAACCATTTCTTCCAATTGGTTAACCAAAGTATATTAGGGTTTAGGCTTGATATGTTTCCTGAGAAAAACCTAAAAACCAGCTCTTCCAATTGTTTCACATAGATTATTACCACTGTGTCCGTGCAAGATTGGAAGCTCAATATTCCAATCCAGAATGGAAGGTGGAAGGGGTGGGAGGCCCTCATGTAGGGCTAGGCTGTATTGAATCATTCTCCTTCTAATCATCGAGCAGATGAGATCATACAAGATCTCAGAGAGGGACCAAATCAACCAAACAGAAAGATGGAATAGTCATAATAATAATCAGCCAACTTTTGACAAAATGTGATCCTCACTGTACCCTCTCTTTGAGTTTTGTAGATCGACCATATGGGCTGTAGCCATCAAAGAATTTTATCTATTTTCTTTTCTTTTTACAATCTCTTAGATGGGCCCACCATGCATGTGTGCCACGTGGATAGCCCACCATTCAGGGACCACTCTCACAAGATGGGGACCATAGCCCCAAGTCTCTTCACACTGGGGTGTAGTAGAATAGAGAGCAGACCTTGCAAACACAGTATGGGCTATTGGGCCTTCACATTTTGGATTGAATTCTGTTCAGGCTTCTACAATGCTAAACATGAAATATTCAAATCCAACAGTGGAGAGTTGGAATCATGCAGGGGTTTGTGTGGGCACTGTGTCTATTCTATCACCACCCAAATGGAAATCTTTGGTTGGGAATTTTGAGGTAGATGTATCATGACCAAATTGAGGGACATCGTACAAGCAATAAATTGGTATGTACTAATGTGTCGACCACAATTGCTTTAGGCATTAAGCTTAATCTGTCTTACATGTGACAGAGTAACATGGAGCCATGTGTCACCCAGTTAATTTTCTTTTCTTTTTTATCTGAAAAGAAAAAAAAAACGATTTTAAACAATTTAGAACAAATATTCTTTCCCTTCTCTCTCTCTCTCCTTATTTTAACAGTTCTTTTTAACCTATTGCACTTTGCCCTGACACAGCACCCTTCGTAATGGCTGCTTTTGCCCTCTTCTCTAATTTTCTCCTTACAAATTTTTAGTTCTCTTGCTAATAAGCTTAGTTCATGGTGACCAATAATGAAATGCCCAAAAACCATGCTAACTGCTTCAAATCTGTAGTAAAAGTTAAAAGAAAAATGTTTACAGTTAATCTAATAAAAGCTTTAATTAGCTATCTATTTATCATTGAGAATTAGAGAGAAGATATGCCATTATCATGATTATCATCATCCAAGCCTTATCTTAACCATATGGTGTCGGCTCCACAAATCTCGTTTTACCATTCTGCTCTATTCAGTGTTACATTCATCATTAAATTAAGGGGTTTTTATTGTTTACTCCACCTCAGAATTCATAATACAATCATAATACTATCATACAGTTTGGGTCAATATCATAGGGGAAAGATGCCAAATTCACGGTGAAACTTATAGGGGGAGCTATGCATAAATACTTTAAAAAAAATTGACCAATTCTAAGGTGAACTGAACCGTTCAAATCCCTTAAATTTAATTATGAACCTTCATATCATTTCTTATTACTTCCACTCAAATTCACTTTGGTCTATCCCTAATTTTTCTAACCTCTAACTCTTATTAAGAGAAGATATACATTTCTATTACCATAAAGATATTTCTTTCTGATGAACTTCTTGAGCATAAAGATGACTTCAACCACTTGTATTGCTTATAGGACTAAAACTATGAAAGGGTTATAAATTTAAAAAGAAAATAAATATTTAAACATGTTTGATTCAAAATGTGGATTAATTTCTAGAGTACCATTGAGGGGTTTCTTCATGCTTGTCTTGGCCATTGGGAACACACCATTAAATGCCACAAGAAACGACTGAAAAAATGTTTAAGGAAATGATCAAGTATGTAAGAATGTAAAACATCAATATAGGCATGATGTTTCCCAAGGATATGTAGACCTTATCTCCTTAAAATATATATTCTGCAACTAAAATAAGCTCTCCACAAGGAAACATGCTTTGTAATGCTTGCACGGACTGAAAAAATTTAAGGAGAAAAAGGGAAAGCTTGAGAAAGAATGTTGGTGAATGGGAATACGTGGATACACTCTTCTACCTGAATTGAATGCTTAATCTACTTCTCCGATTGGCCTTATTAAATGAATATTTACTTGTATTATACATCAAAATTTTTATGTAATAATTAAATTAATCAAAACGGTTGCTTGTCATTTTCTGATGGTCTAATTAGGGGTGCAACTTGGGTGGGCCCAACCCGAGCCCGAATCGACCCAGCTCAAAATTTTATACGGGCTGGGCTTGGATTTTTGGTCCTTGGGCTGAGATTGGGCCCGAGAATTTGGGCCTTTTTATTTTTTAGGCTGGGCCCAGGCAGGTACATTGACCAACCTGAGCCTAGCCTAGGCCTGAGCCCAACTCGAGTGCATCAAATTACAATGCGGGCTGGGCTCGGGTTGGGAAGATCAAGCATGACCTCAGGCTTGGTCTAGGCTTGGGCCTTAAATCAAAATCTTAGGGTTGGGCCTAGGTTGACCATAAACCCGGCCTAACCCACCTGACTTGCACCTCTAGATCTGATCATGGTTGTGGTGCTAAGAATCCGGATCTCCTGCCCACGAGAACTCTTCCCACGTCTACCCACAACACACTACCCCCGTGAATTGGGAACATCTCCCCTTGGATAATACTATGTAGGAGGATGAGATGTTCTCCATGTATAGTTGTGATGTTATGTGGGTAGACGTGGGCAGGAGATCCGGACTCCAATATTTAGGGCAACCAAAAGTGGATGCAAATATAATGTATGTAATTATATGCAAGAGTATTTATTAGATTTCATAATTATCTAAATGCTTTAATAAAAAAAAGCGGCTTGCAACTATGGATTACTTCCTCATTTGAGTTCAAATCAGCCCCCCACAATGTCCCACAACACATCCCCGCCATGTATTGGGAACATCTCCCGATGATGACATCATCATTTCTAGGGTTATCATCAGGAGATGTTCCCAATACATGGCAAGGATGTGCTGTGGGACGTTGTGGGGGGCATTCTTGTGGGGGGCTGATTTGGTCTCCATTCCATTTGATATTTTTATTTTTCACTTCTCTTTTTATATCCGTTATTTCAGCTTTATCATAAATAAATGGTACAATATTGTATTACTGCTTTACCATTGAAGTGAATAAAAAAAACACATTGATTTCTCATATTTATGACATCTTTCTAACTCTCATTACAATTTGGCACTTATTTATGCTTCATCTTCTATTAATGGAAAATTCTAAATTAGAATATAAAATTTAATAAAATAGTTTTTTTTTTTTATTATGAGGATAAAGAGAGAGCATAGGGATACATGAATTTGGGTTAATATGTAACAAGGCATATACATAATGTGCATACATACCTGCATTAGTGGTTTAATTTGTTGATAAGTTGATCTGCAATAAAGCACAGCCATAACTCATAAGTTCATACAAGAAAATAAAGCAAGCTGCAAAGCTTTATTGCTACTTTGGGGCATATAAATTGTGAATCCATGAGTCCATGACCTAATGAAAGCAGAAAAGGAGTCATCCTCCGTTGATTTGACAACAGCTTCTGATGTCTAACTTCGTAAATGACAAGGCTTGATATCATCACCAGACTGTTGGCTTATAAAGAAGAAAACAAATTTTGTTGCCACCTTGCATGCTCATCTAGAGCTTCAAACATGCTCGTTTCACAGTCGATCGGCTGCATTCTGGGTAAAATTTTAACCAATCTGCAGAGATGGGTTGTCAATTGTGAGGAACCCAGGATCAGAAAATACAGCCATGAGCACTATGGGATTCGAGTCTCTCTTTGCCTAACTTTGGTGTGAGACTAAGCACAGATACCTATGCTTAACCCTTTAATGTGTTTTATCAGAGGAAAACACATCCTAAAACTGGGTTCAAACAGATTATTCTTTTTAAGTTTCTGAGTCATAAACCATGACTTTTCTTGTTCAGTTTTTTCTTGTACGTAGTTACATGTAGGAGATTCCTTTTATGTTTAGTCTTGAGAATCACATGTACTCTGAACTGGTTCAGATTAATATTTAAATAGATTTACATGTATGATTAATCAAGCTAACAACTGACGTACGTACCCAAATTTAGTCTGAAAGTTAACAGAAACTTTCTGTAAACAAAACATTAAAAAAACCAAGAGATTTCAAACAAATTTCAGGCCATAAACCCATTTTAACAGAATTTTATCGTTATCATGACATGACCTCTCCATTTTTTTTCAATTATCGTCACCACATGGTACAATGCAAGTTGTTTAGAACTAACAAATATTCGTCCTTTTAAGATGAAGGCAATATGGACAAATTAACTTATTTGATGTGATTGATTTACTGAAACATTGTTGTTTTCAGCAATGAAATATTCCATTTCCTCTTGTATCTTACACACTCAATGGTTCTTATAAGTCTCTCAAAGCAAAGTTATTATTGTTTTCTTTCAATCATGTATTAAAGGATTGTTTCTCTGTCATCAACAACTACATATGAAACTACCCACTTGCTCAAAGAAAACAATTACCTAAGTTCAGTCCGTACTAAAGGATTCAGACAAATGCAGTAGCAGCCAACCGACCCAGACAGACAGTCAAAACGATAAACCCTATGTTCTAACTTATATAATCATATATATGATCCAAACAGAAAGTGACTACAGTAAGATACTACCTCCTTAAATATACTGCAGGAGATTGACGACTTTTTCCTCCACGAATAAACCAGTTTTGGAGATCAATGGCTTCAGCTATATATATTGAAGTTATCAGTATAAATACAAGAAGGGGTGGGGTAATATAAAGTAAAGGATATGTGAAGAAAACCGTGAAGCAGGCTTGGTTTAATTTACCAAAGAAGGAAGAAAGAAGAGATCTATTTCATTCCATTAAACTTCAAATATATATCATCTTAGGCAACACATGTATAGTTGTAGAAGTAAAAAGGTTATCTAAAGTTTGAACTGAATCGATTATAGCTGTGATGAGTGGTGACTGGTGAGTGAGTCGTCCTCTCATTTTCATATATCTCACTCCTCAACACCATGACTTTTAAATCATCTTCACAAGGAACGTTCCCAGGTGACACCCCCGAAACAGTGAAAACAAATGCAAGTGTAAGACCAATAGGCAAGATGTGTCTCAAGGTTGGTCCACCTACATAAATGATGGACTGATGGGTGATGGAGTTAAAGCAAACCCAACCATTGTAGTGATAATGTCACACGTTCTCTCTCTCTCTCTCTCTCTCTCTGTCTCCATGATTTGCATTCAAGTTTCCAGGGAGAGAGTCCCCAGGTTTCAAAGATCCACTCCCTCACAGACAAACCACTTGGGAAAATACCCACACGAAGCATTGTTAATTCCTTCTTAACAAGACACACTATTCGGCTTCATTGAACTGTTGTGTTTATATCAAGAAACAGAAGCAGCAGCAGAGAGAATAACAAAGCATTCCCCAAGACAACAACAAATATATAAAATCAAAACAAGTAGTTCCGGCCTCACCTTCTTTGCACTTTATGCCCAAATATTCTTCTCTAACTGTAGCCAATTCCCATCTCAATCTCCCATCTTCTCAACCTTCCACAAGCTCAACAAATCAGTATCTTAATTTGTCTGATCACAGCTCCTTTGATGATCGATAGGATTATCAGAGAGAGAGAGAGAGAGAGAGAGAGAGAGAGAGCATAAAATAGTCTATCGGAAAAGGAGAAGCTGAGGGATTAAAGAAAATTCACCTCTGAGTTCACATCCCATGTAGTACAGCAAAATTCCTTGTGTAGCCGCTTATTGCCGATGCAGCATCATCAAGATTCTCAGTTCAGAACTTGGGCGGAGATCATTACATCGCCGCCGTGTATCTGCATGTGAATCTTGATGGTGCTACATCCGCAAACAACGACTGGATCAATCCATGCACGATAAACTGATGGGACTTCAGGAACAAATAAAACCCAGAAAAGGAGAAAAGCCAGGGAAATGAACAAATGAACAGAAGAGAAAAGAGGGAAGTTAAAGAAAAAAACAGAGAAGACTGATCAGTGGTATAGGAAGATTCATGCACCATCTTCAGATTCATGACTGCGAGTCCGTGTTAACGTGGCATGTTACTAGTGGTTTAATTAAACGTATAACGATGACATGATGGCGAGATAAGAATCTACAGTCGATCCCCTAAGAACTGAAAACAAAAGACCTCATTTGCTCTTTTCTCCTAATTGTTTTCGCCAAATAATGAACAAAATACAACTCCCAACAACCCAGCACTGTTTCAGTCCGTAATTCACAGTTTTGGACTTTGTAGTCAGATTTCTCCGATCAGATTCCGGCCAAAAGCCAGCAACCCATTTGAACCCACATCAGATTCCGGCGATCAGCCCCATCTGCTATGGTTTTATGAACTAGAGAACCAAGAGGAGAACAACCCAACAAAGCCAAGAGTTTACAAGTATACTGCCTTGGCAGAAACTAGAAAACATAGAACTAGAAGGAAAAGAAAGCCCGATTTCGGCAAAAACTGGCCTTGAATCTAAATTTCCTGCCTAGATCGGAGGCGTGTTTACCCAAATCGACTGTGATTCAAGAGGAAAAGAGATGAAAGAGGCTAAGATAGGAAGAGAGAGAGAGAGAGAGAGAGAGAGAGAGGGGGGGGGGGAAGAAAAGAGAGACAACTCGACAAGACATAAGCAAACGGGTGGAATTACACACACGGAGGGGTGCGAGCAGGTGAGTGTATAAGAGAAATATTTATACACATAGCTGACGCGATTTTGCTGTTTTTTTTATTTTCTAATTTCTAATATAAAAATAAAATTACATTATTTATTTATTTTTAATTTTGTAAGATGCTTAGCTGTCCGGTACTGTACCATAGGCATATGGCCTCAGTTACACATCGCCATCTCCCAAAACCCTAGTTTTTGTGCTTTTAACTTCGGGCTGCCCGCACGGGTTTGGGGCTTTTGGTCCAACCGTCCAAGTGCTTTAATGCTTAGGACTTTCTCCTTTTATAAGGCATCGAGGTTAGGGTTATGGGGTCTCCAGTACTTGCTTGACTACCCTTTTTCTCTGCATCAGTCAATGTGAACAAGGGACTACAGTAAACCTCCCATTTACACCGTCAGATCCATGACCCGAAAACAAGGATCTTAGATTCATAGGTTCTACCTTTTGACCTAAATTCTACCATGGCCTCGGTTCTTGGCTGATATGGAAATTGCAATCGTCTAACTGTTAAGCGGGTACTTTTGTAATTGTGACAAAGGATATTGTAACAGCTGAAATGGCTAAACCGAATGACTTATTTATGTATGGTGAATAAATAAGTAATTAAGAAGGTTATGAAAATTGTTGAAGCTAATAAAATTAAGCTAGTTATTATATTTTTTATATTTTTTTTTTACAAAAAGAAGGAATGATTTTTTTATCCACTAAAAGACAAAATAGAAGTCATTCAGAATAGATGATTGGACCAATCAACTAGTGACCCAATCACCCAACCTAAGTTTTTAAGAAAATATTTTTAAAAATGCTTTTTCATGTGTCTATGCCAAGGATGTAGATTAGAGTAGAATTAGCATTCTCTTCAATAAAATAACAAATCACGATAAACTGAAATAATGGAAATATGGAATATATATATAAAAAAGAAAATTGCAATAAGCACTGCAGTTTCTTTAATGCTCCTCTTTGATTTTTTTTAATAATGTTTTTATTTTTATTATCAAATTTTTTGAACCATCTCGTTCAAGTGCATCACACACCACATATTTGGAATATAGTATAATTTTCATGTCTCTCATGCGATCTCATACACAAAATTCTTCTTTTTTTAAGTGTCCTTAATTAGTAAATAATTTGAACCACTTATTGGTTTGGACTGACGTTTAACCCGATTACATGTCTATTAGTGAAATGCTAAGATTTCTTTTTTTTTTTGGGTATTGTGAAATGCTAAGGAAGCTTTCAGCCTTGCACCATTCATGAGAAGAAGATGTATAATGATACATGTTAGTAATAAGGCGTAGAACACCTGGTTCTATGGGGGCTAAAGCTGCACCAACAATACCAATAAAAATGATATATATGTTTAAAACATAATTTATTAAAAAAAATGGAATAACAAGATTTTTGGCATATTTTACTTGTAAGTGTATAATCCACTAAAATGCATATTTACAAATATACTTATATTTTTTACAAGAACATATTAAAACAAAGATTTCATATTTTCTATCCCATATATTTAATAATCCATATTGTTCACATGTTATACTTTTTCTATTAAAACTTCTCATGTCTTACATAATTTCAATAACTTGTTACGTATTTGTCAGAAATTTGAAAATACACATACAATACGAGCTAAAATAGTCTCTTTTTTACTTTCATGGACTACCAACATGTTTGAACATTTGGAATTATTTCACTTTCATCTTTTAATTAAGGCAAAATCTATGATGCATGAACTACACCATGAAGTAAAAGATTTGAATGAGTGAGATACGCCACAATTTAATGTTGTTAAAATATTCAATGGCGGATACACCTTATGAAATATGAATCAATGAAAGGTAATAAATAGACCATGTGATTGGCTGAAATTTTGATTTACGCACAGCAAATGTTCAAAATGCATTATAGTTAAATTCTTTAAATCAATTCATACTTGTCCAAACTTTTAATATAGTTCTTCTCATTTGCTAATTACATGCTTCACAACTAAATGCCTTGAGGAAATTAAACAATTTTGATCCTCTCATAATAATAATATTTTCTTTTTCTAAATTTTGAATAAATAAATTACCCCTCAAATGATGGAAAAACTTCTTACATGATATGCCCCTCATTTGCTAATACGGCATGTTTATTGTATGAGTAACATGATATGCCCCATGTAACTCAAATTAACATGCTTAATAAATAGATTTAAATAGTAAAATAAAAAATCAATCATCTTTTACCTAAAACAAATTCATAAAAACCATTTAATATCATCTTTACCTATCACACAGTAAACAAGTCATTTTTTTTGCATCAAGTGAGCCAAATCAAAATTGACACTTTTATTAATCATTTTAAATAAGGTGCATGATTTTGATATAAATACAATTAAGATGAATCCAAATCTACTAATTTCATGTCGTGTTCGAACTATATTCACATGTCATATAAAACATTGAGAACCCTAATTAGATTAGAATATACTTAAAACCTATATATAATTATGTCTGCATTGTCAAATATCTAATGTGACACAAACACTACTCACTCTTGTGAGCCCCTTACCGAAGCACAACCCAATTTTTTTTTTTCTTTTTCTATTTGAATAAACCACTTCATTTGGTTTTGGGCCAAAAAACATTGAAAGGAACTTGTGTTGATTCAATCACCAGTGAAAATTTTAATTGATTACTGAAGATGATTGTTCTTGACTTTAGGAGCATAGAACCTAGCTATCTAATCTTAATCCAAACTGGTTTGGTAAGGGGGTTATATCATCTTTTTTATGGTAACTACGTGTGAAGGACAAATGAACGCGTCATCTGCAATACAATAGAGTTGTTTTGGTCTTACAATCAGTTCATTTGTAGGAAGCCTTTTTAAACAATATTATATAGTGGAAGGTGTTTCAATAACTAATTAAGATGGTGTTCGTTAATTAGAAAATATCTCAAATTTAAATTCAGCATTTCAGCAACTCTAGACATACTTAATTTCTGAATAATGATTAATGAAACACATACATTGGGGTGATTATTTTGCCTCTTATACCCTTGGATTTAAGTCATTGTTAATTTTGATAAATCTTTTAATTTCTGTATTCTGCTCTCAGAGCACTTATTTCGAAGGGCGAGTAAATAATAGTTCCAACGAGAAGAGTAGCCATATAACCAGGTGAGGCATTTAAGTAGAAACAGTCAAAAGAGTCAAGAATTTTTCTATAATGCACTTCTTGAAAGTAGGTTCAATCTAAGTCAAAAAAAGTAAACAAGTCAGTTCCAATTAGAGTCCAATTTAAAAATTCAGTCGTAGTTTCTTATAAATACTGATATAATAATATGACTCATATTGTATCGATATTTTAAATCTTAATTTTAATATATTAAATTATATCCACTATCAAGTTTTCACGTGACTCAGATTTCAATTTTTTTATGCCCCGTTTGAGAAATCACTAAGTGGTGGAGCAATATTAGTGAGTTCTAGTCGTCTAGAAAAGTCAAAAAGCTTCAACATAAAAGAATGGGGAGGGCTGATGAAGCTTTGTTGAATTGCTTTAGCCGAGCTGCTACATAGAAGCCTAAAAGAACTTTCAAAAAAAAAAAAAAAAAACCATATTAGCCAGGTGGGGCCCACTAAGAGGCCAAGACCAAGAGCAACAAGATGAAAGCCTCTGAAATGGGCACTTCATATCTGAATTTAGGGTGTTCAGAGAAAAAGTTCTCTTGTCATTCACCATGCCTTTTCAAGCCGTTTGGCTAACTCATCATGATCAAATAGCAAATCACGACCCCATTAGTTCTATACCTAAACCTTTTTTTAATGGGATACTTCATTGAACATTATCCTAAAGGTTTTCAACAATTTAAAGAATACATACATAATCATGGGGTCATTGGCAAGGTAATTTTAAATATTTTTCCATAACAAAGAGTGTTAATGAAGGTGTGAGTTCTAAAAAGCTCATGGCCGGCCCAATAGAGTTGCCACCCATTTTTGTTTAAGAGGAAATGGGTATTCTTTTCAGGTTAAACCATTCAGATTTTTAGATGAGTAGAGACTCCACTTTTTCACCGGCCTACAAACAGAAATTCAAGAGTTCTTTGAATAAGGGGAGGGAAGGGGTTAGGCACCCCTCTCCTTAGTTGCAAACACAACTCAGTTTGAGATCTATCTAGGCTTCTAGGAAACAAACTAGATTTACTTAACTAACAAACAAGACTAGAACACAAGGAAGGGCTAAAGGATTGTAAAATTCATGAAAAATAATTTCAACAAAAAAAAATGTCAACCATGGTTTAATGAGGTTGTTTTAAGGGAATGGGTACTGAATTCCCCAAACCCCTTTCCTCTCTCCCTTAAGTACCATGGCTAATAAAACTAAAGAATCCTTCCATGAACCTTAAATTCCTTCAACCTTACCACAACAATAAGCAATCAAATGACTTAAAAAACAAATAAAATTACTAAAAGTCAAGCAAAAACATTAACAAGATGAGCTAAGAGGATTACCTCTCGAGTGTAGCCTTGATAAACAATTTTCAGCAATTAAGACAGACTCTGAAATGCATGTTGAGGGTGATCCTCGTTGGTAGTTCGATTCCAAATGCTCTTGGATGATAGGAAACAAATATTTTAAATTTTCTTAGACTTAGTTATGTGTTAGGAATGAAATTGGGAGAGTTCGAATGATTTGGACGCCTTTTAAAACCCTAGGATTCCCATTAACATAGGGTTTGGATATGTTTTCATTCAAGGTCAAGTTTCTCTGAACTGTGGGTGCTCTCCCTCCATCCCCCCTGCCCCTTTTTCCATTCAAAAATGTGCTATTTGTAAAGGATAAAAGGCAAACAACGTTTGTAACTTCTTCTCCACGCGTCCAAGACTTCATAGGGCTTTCTCCATGCATGAAATCTCAA